AGTTCGCTTGACTTCCTGCTTTGCTCATATGTGCCGGCTGTTGATAAGCCCTTTAGATTGCTTTGAATTTAAAAGCCCAGCCCAGTGCTGTTATGTTAATAAATTTTTATTTTTGGTGTGGATGATTGTTTTCAATTAAATGAAGGAGATATCAGTGGATGTCTGATCTCTTGTAAGATTTAAAAATATTGTTAATGTAGTTAATTTTTAATTAAAAATTATTTATTATTTAATAAAAATAATTATAAAAGTGTTATTATTTTAAAAAATAAAAATTATGTGTTTAATGAAATTAATTTTTAAAATTTAAAAATAAATTTTTAATAAAAATAAACTTACTTTAAAATTTTTAAAACCCAAATTATATAAAACCAAATTTTGTATTATGTTTTAAATTCATATGCACTCAACTTGAATTATTTTTTTTATTGAGTTCAAAATATTATTATGCTTATAATATAACATACTTTAGAACATGACATATTATTAAAATTACCACCAACCTCATATTAGAATTTTCTTTTTTTTTGTAGCCCATATTATAATTTTTTATATATAAAATAATGTTAGGCCTCATTTTAATTTATTGTAACTATTCTAATTAATTAAAAAAAATTTAATCGCAAGGAACATTTCTCTAATCTAATAATACGTTAAATTCAATTAAATTTAATCAATTTGTCATAATAACACATTGCGTTAGGTATTTAGTTTAACTATATTTAAAAAATGTGAATTATACATTATCAATAAAATTTAAATACGTAACTTTCAAATAAAACACATAAATCATAATCATTAAGTCACTGCATGATGGGTAAATGCGTAGTATAATTGAAAAGCTTATAAAATGGACTGTGCATGTTGTAATTTAAAAGTTTATTAAACCATATTCTGTCCAATATGTCACAAACCAACACAATCCTAATCCACAAATGTAACGCCCAACAATTTTATTCCGAGGCATTAATATTTCTCATCACTAAACATCAATGTTTCATCCCATTCAATACAAAACAACCAATTTATATTCTAATTACTCATCAGACATGTCCTTATATCTATAAGAATTTTTAGAGGATCAATCCTCTCTCACTAGCAATCTCCCTTACAGTTATTGATATTTAAATACAATATATATTGATATGGTGTGTGTAAACGTTTATATGTATAAAAAAATTAGCCTCCTACGTGCATCCATGCCAACACCTATGCATTATACTCCCTTGACAATACTGCAGCCTCTAGGTTCTCCTTATCTTCATCTAGAAATAACAGGTGATGAGCAACTACAAGTCCAGTAAAATAATTCTTAAACTAAAATTTCAACATCGCAATTAGTTAAAGTTCTCTATTAACTCAGTTACTTTTGCCCATTCCTAACCCTTTGAAGACTCTCTATTGTCCAACCTCGTCCTACTTCATCAAGGTATCAATTCGCTCTTAATTAGTATGCGAGAAACACTATGTCAGCTAAAAATAAAATATAGCAACCTTCTCCTTCACCAAACACAAAATAGACCCAACCTTTCTAAGCACTGCTAAACCCCCACCCAAGAGACAAATCACTCTATCAACAACCCGACTTGACCTTCTACCACTAAGTTGGCTGACTGTACTACTAACCAGTATGTAAGATAATCCCGTCCCTGTACTGACAACACATCCACTCAATCCTCCATCTTGACTTTCATAAAAATGCAACCTATACATTACTGACCACCCCATGGCCACACACGCACACCTACTCGCCTATTTCGGCTGTGCAGAAACAAATAAAAAAAGTCACTACAGATTAGGCACTTCACTGGCCACTCACCCCGTCACTCACCTATCCGGCTTATCGGCATACCATGCCACCATCTCGAACCCACTCGGCCAAGCTACTGGCCCCTCACAATCACAGAATCCAATACCAGCTTTCTAGTTTATGGAAGTGCCTTTGTTACACCTCATAACCAACTACCAGGTGACCACACATATGGTGGATTGTAATATATGCATAACACACAGCGGAAGATAAAAATAATTTAATCTGATCTATTTGTACTTAAAAATTATATTGCATGTCAAAAATTAAATCTAAAACATACCTGAAAACGAGTTCTTAAATTAAAATTGTTTGAAAACACGAACAGTCTATGCGTATCCACACTGAAAGTAACATTTGTTATTCAAATCTTTGATTAACGGAACGTACGAAGAAATTAGTGTGTTTAAAATTTTCTCACAAAACTTTGAACAGAAAAATTTTCTATTTTTTTTTTGGTGTGCGGACATCCAAATTTATTTGGATTCATCCACCCTTTTTTTTCTTTTTAACACATAAATATTTACATATATATCTCATATATATATATATATATATATTTTATCTTTTTTAATTATTATTATTTAATAAAATAATTTTATAAACTAATTTAATTTCAAGTTAAATTTTATAACAATCTCAATTATTATAATAGTCACACATATTATATTATTACACTAATAATATAATAACCAAAATATAAATATTAATTTTTAATTTCAAAAATAGAAAATTTAAGTTTATGTCAAATATTAATTATATTTTTGATGCTAGTAAAAAATATAATAATATTATATTTAAACCAAAAAAATTTATTTATTTGATTAAATTAAATTCTTTAATTTAATTTTCAAATAATTAAAATAATTAATTTATTCAGCAAAAGTCAGAATACTCATTAACGTGCGACCCCATAGGTTCAACACTAAACCGGTAGCAAATTAATCAAACTAATTTACTAATTAAGGTTGGCATCTAGCAACACTCCTCAATGACCGAATAATATGAAATGCACAATTATTTTCAAGAACCTACTAAAGAAATATGTAATGCTTTCTTCCGTCATATTATTTCGAGTTAACCCTAAGATATAGTTTAACCGTCAAATCCTAATAGGTAATCAACTAGGTTTCATGTCAATTATAATTGACTAATGAATGACATAAGAAACTCTTTTCTTCCTTCATTCAACTGCCCTAACCAAAGTCTTAATTTAATTATTATAATAAAGACAACATACAGCTTAAACTTATTACCTAAGTTGACAGATTCCGTCTTGACCAATCACTAATTCTACAAGTATTTAATCACACTCAATATCCTTTCAACTACAGTTCTATGACTATAGGTGTTCAGAATTAAAGTATAATAAATGACTTATTAATTACTATGATGATCTCAGGTCTAAAGAATTTCTTACATCTCATCAAAATAAGATAATATTATATTGACAGTTTAACGTAATATTAACCATTAGAAATTTTTAATTGGGTCGATTCAATAATCATATCTCCATATGTATCATATATATATGTGATTTAGTTAATGAGATCAACTAATCTTTATCTTATAAACACTATCACATATATATTAGTCTTACCAGATCATTAATATCACATTTTGATGATCCAACAACTAAGAACATTTTAAATTAAATCATAAAAAATTTTATTCTCATTATCAAGATTCTCATCTTGATATAAAATGTATAAATTTAATTAAGGACTTTATTACATAAATTAAATAATACGATAATAAAATACTATTGTAATAAATTAAAATAAATTATCAAATAATAATGTATTCAATATATTACATGAAAAATTGGATCGTTGACATAACACTCATATCCCTAACAATCTCTTACTTACACTAGATCCAATTTGTCATGTACTATATTCCTAACTTCCACTTATACTTGTCAAACTCCTTTGCACCAAGAGGCTTAGTGAACAGGTCAGCTGCATTATTTTTTCCATTAACCTTTAAAATTTTAACGTCCCCACATTCAATGATTTCTCTAATCAAGTAGTACCTACGCAGAATGTGTTTGGACTTTTGATGCGATTTCAGCTCTTTTGCTTGAGCGATCGCTTCAGTATTGTCACACAATAATGGAACTGGACCTTGTATTGAAGGAACTACACCAAGTTCAGTTGAGAACTTCTTCATCCAAACAACTTCCTTAACAGCCTCACTTGCCGCTATATATTCTGCTTCGGTCACTGAATCAACTACCGTAGTTTGTTTGGAACTTTTTTAACTCACTGCACCACCATTTAAGGTGAACACATAACCAGATATAGATTTCTATCATTTTTATCTGAAACAAAACTTGCATGTAACGCCCAAATAATTTTAAATTATTATTATTATTATTATTAATTTTATTTTTATTTATTTTATTTTATTTTGTTTATTTTAATTTAATTTAATATAATAATAAAAATAATAATAATTATAAAATTGGGTAAAAATATTATTTGGATTTAATTGAAATTGATTTTGGGAAAAAGAGGTGAAAATTAGGATTTCTGGGGGTATTTTTGAAAAGAAAATCGGAAACCGGGGGTCAAAACATAATTTAGAAAAATTGTGCCCCGTCAGCGCCACGTCAGCAGCCACATCAGCGGCCCAGTCAGCAACCCTAACCAACCAGGACCTGCCGCATGGCAAGACCACGTCGACCGGGGAACGGGCCACGTGGGCGATCCACGTGCGCGCGATCGGACGGCCCAGATGCGTCCCTGCGCGCACGGACGGCCCAGATTCAATCGCGCACGAACAACCTAGATTTAATCAAAACAGACGACTGTGATCAAAAGGCAAAAGGGTATAAATAGAACCCCCACACCTGACCACAAAAACCCTAGCCGCCTGCCCTCACCGGAGAAGACGAACCAGACGCCGGAGGAGCTGGCCGCCGCCACCCGCCGCCGCACCGGGGAGTTTTTCGACCGCCGATCGAGGTAAATTTCATACCCCCAGCTCGTTTTTCCACGATGAGTTCCCCTGTGGCCAAATCGGAGCCAAAATCCCGGCCAAACGACCGAAAAATACGGCTGAAACCCAGCGGCACCGCCGCGTCCCTCCTCAGTTTTTGCCTCCGATGAGGCCCTTCCCGGCCTCCGTTTGATACAATTTTTATATCACCGTGATCACCATT